GAATCTCATGAACAAAGAATGAACGAAAGAGCTGCAGGAAAATCGAAGAGTGATGTGGCCTTACAGGCACATGCAGCAAAAGAGACCAAAGGCAAAGGAAAGTATTCTGACAGAAGTAGAGGTGGCTACAACAAATCGAATGGTAGAGGAAACCAAATCGAAGGAGACGTGTCGAATCAAAGAAGACCACACCAAGGCAACCAAAGAGGTGGTGCTGCAAACAGAGGAAGAGGTGGTGGTCGAAAACCTGATAAAAGTCACATTCAATGTTACAATTGTCAGAAGTATGGTCACTATTCGAGTGATTGTCCAGAAAGACGAAAGAATCAAGAAACTGATGCAAAGCTTGCAAAACATGAAGAAGAAGAAGAGATGATGATGATGGTCACAACAAGAGATGAAGACAGATTCAAGGACCAATGGTACTTGGATTCAGGATGTTCATCACATATGTCTGGAAGGAAAGACTGGTTCGTCAATATAAAACCCTCAATGAAAATTTTGGTAAAATTTGCAAATGACAACACCCTAGCAGCTGAAGGTATTGGTGATGTTATGATCATGAGGAAAGATGGCAAGAAGTCAGTAATTTCGAATGTATTGTACATACCAGGCATGAAGAGCAATTTGCTCAGTATAGGGCAGTTGGTCGAAAAGAATTATAAAGTATCAATCGAAGATAAGTTGATGAGAGTCGTTGATGCAAATGGTAGATTAATCTTGAAGGCTCCTATGTCTCAGAATCGAACCTTCAAGATTGAACTAAATGTGATGGAACACAAGTGCCTTTCGACTGCAGCTAGCAGAGATGAATGGATATGGCATTATAGACTTGGTCATCTCAACTTCAGACACATCAGAGATTTGAAGAGAAGAAATATGGTTTTAGGATTGCCTGAAATTGACATTCCAAACGAAGTATGTGAAGAATGTGTGCAGGCGAAGCAACACAAGAACAGCTTTAGCAAGGATGCAGGAAGCAGATCGAAGGCTAGTCTCGAAATCATATACTCTGATGTATGTGGACCAATCCAGGTGGATTCGATGGGAGGTAACAAATACTTTGTTACATTCATAGATGATTTCAGTCGAAAGCTATGGACTTACCTGATCAAGAAGAAAAGTGAAGTGATCAAAGTATTCACCAAGTTCAAGTCCATGGTCGAAAGACAAAGTGGACGAAAACTCAAAGTTTTGAGAACTGATGGTGGAGGAGAATATGTGTCGAAAGACTTCGACAGATTATGTGAAAAAGAAGGGATTGTGCATGAGGTGGTGCCACCCTATACTCCACAGCAAAATGGAATTGCAGAAAGGAAAAATCGAACCATCATGAACATGGTGAGAAGTATGTTGAAAGGTAAGAATTTATCCAAAGAGTTCTGGGGTGAAGCTGTTTCGACTGCAACATATATTTTGAACAGAAGTCCTACAAAGAAGCTAGAAGGAATTACTCCAGAAGAATGTTGGTCTGATGTGAAGCCTAGCTTGAGTCATCTAAAAGTATTTGGATCTATTGCACATAGACATGTGCCAGATCAGTTGAGAAAGAAACTTGATGACAAGTCAAGTCAAATGATCCTAGTTGGATATCATTCGACAGGAGGCTACAAGTTATTCGATCCAGAGAACAAGAAGATTGTGATCAGCAGGGACGTGATCATAGATGAGTTCAAAGAATGGGATTGGACTGCAAATGTCAAGAAAGATTCAGTGGGAGTCTTATTCGAAGAGCCAGAAACTCAAGTCGAAAGAGAAGTTCGACAAGAGGAGCCAGCAGATATACCCAGTACAAGCAGACCTCAAAGAACAAGACGCATGCCTGCAAGATTGCAAGATTGTGTGATTACATCAGATGATGTGATAGATGATGAAGGTGAGCTGGTACATTATGCTTTCTATGCAGATGTCGAACCTGTTAATGCAGCTGAAGCATTAAAGGATTCGAAGTGGGTGAAAGCAATGAACGAAGAAGTAAAGTCTATCGAAGACAACAACACTTGGTCACTTGTCGAATTGCCTCAAGGCAAGAAGGCAATTGATGTCAAGTGGGTATACAAAGTGAAGACGAATTCGAAAGGTGAAGTAACTCGACACAAAGCAAGACTTGTGGCGAAAGGATTTCTACAGAAAGAAGGAATAGATTTCGACGAAGTTTTTGCACCTGTTGCTAGGATCGAAACAATCAGGCTGGTTGTTGGTCTAGCAGAAATCAACAGTTGGCACATATGTCAGATGGACGTGAAGTGTGCATTCCTAAATGGACCCTTAGATGAAGAAGTCTATGTTAAACAACCAGTTAGGTTTGTGAAACATGACGAAGAAAGAAAGTTGTACAGGCTACATAAAGCCCTGTATGGATTGAAACAAGCTACAAGGGCTTGGAATAAGAAAATTGATAGTTTTTTAAGGGAGAAGGAATTTGTGAAGTGCATAACTGAACATGGAGTATATGTAAGAAGAAGCAAGAGTAAATTGCTTATACTATGTCTCTATGTAGATGATTTGTTGATAACAGGTAGCTGCAAGAGTGAGATCGAAGACTTCAAAGTTGACCTTAGCAAGGAATTCGAAATGTCTGATTTGGGTGAGATTTCATATTTCCTTGGTATCGAATTCTACAAGAGCAGTAGAGGTTTGATGATGCATCAAAGAAGATATGCAAGAGAAATTCTCAAAAGGTTTGAGATGGAAGAATGCAACGCAACTTCGACACCTGCAGAACCAAGACTGCAACTGTCGAAAGATGCTGATGAAGATGATGTTGATCCAACCCAATACAGAAGACTTATTGGATCATTGAGATACCTTTGTCATACAAGGCCTGACTTAGCATACAGCGTAGGTATGGTAAGTAGATTCATGCAGAAGCCAAAGGTATCACATCTAGCAGCTGTGAAGAGGATACTAAGGTATCTTAAAGGAACTTTCGATTATGGAATTCTGTTTCCTGCAGTTGATAAAGGAAAAGAATGCAAGTTAGTAGGATACACTGATTCGAGTTGGTGTAGTGATGTTGAAGATCGAAAGTCAACAGCAGGATATGTGTTTATGCTAGGTGGTGCAACAATTGCTTGGAGTTCGAGAAAAGAACCAGTAGTGGCATTATCATCATGTGAAGCAGAATACATAGCTGCTTCTCTTTGTGCATGTCAAGCAACCTGGATGGTGAACTTGGTCGAAGAGATAACAGGGAAAAATCATGGAGCAATTACCATGAAGATAGACAGCATGTCAGTTATCAATCTGGCAAAGAATCCAATAGCACATGGTCGAAGTAAGCACATCGAAATGAGGTTCCATTATCTTCGAGAGCAGGTAGCAGATGGGAAGATGAATTTGGAACACTGCAGAACTGAGAATCAGATTGCAGACATCATGACGAAGGGAGTGCAGGTCGAAGTATTCAGAAAGCTAAGGGCCATGATGAACATAGACAGTTTAGACACAATGAATTAGGTGGTGTGTTAAATTGTAATTCATATGTGTCAAAAGAAGATTTGATTTGTTTAGATTTAAATAAATTTAAATTTAAATCTAGATTAGATTTGATTTAGTAAAGAGATATTTTGGGCTTGGGTTTAGCTTAGAGAGAAAGCTAACCTAAATCTATAAATAGAAGGAGTAACCCCTATTTTGTAATTAAGTCAATTCACAGTATTTTGCAGTTGCAAAGTGAATAATAAAGTTTCTACAGTTTGTGGGCAGAATAGAAATTCTGCAGAAATATCTACATTGTTCTTTTATTTGTTTGTCATAATTAATCATCAGTGGTGGTCAAAATTCATCATAAAGCATTGGTGGATTTCCAACAAGTCTCTCAGAAAAGTTGTGCTTCCAAGAGATCTCGCGGCGGTGGAATATACCAATATAAGTTTCTTGATGTTCAAATTAAATATAGTTAATCATGGAATAAAAAAAATCTGAATAGGTGGATGTAATAAAAATTAAAAGAAAAGTTATTGTATGGAAAATCATAATTTATTCATTACTACTAGGTGTGATTGGTTGTGAGGTAAAAATGTAAAGAGAATCAAAGAAGAGAGAAATAAATGAGAAATATAATATATTTGATATATTATTTATTTTAATATATAAAAATTAATTATCACTAAAATTATTTAATTATTCAAATTAAATCAATTTTAAGAGTGATTCATTTATTTTTCTAATTTAATTCAAATGTTTCACTCTCCTCAATAGATTGAACATCACATTGGTTCTAAATATTCCACAACCACATCTTCTCCTTCTTTAATCCACCGCTTCAAATTTACTCTACTCTTTCAATACTAGTATACTCCCTCTCGGCGATTTCGCTATTGCATCGTAGATTTCACCCCCTCTGTTTCATGAAACTCAACCAACTTTGACTCCCCAACATCAAATCTTCCCACCACATGATAAACTAACATTGATGCTATTAAAACTCAAAAAGATATTCAAATTCATAAAAAAAAAAAGAGTTCAATTGAAAGAAGGGGTTTTGCGGTTGAGAATTGGAATAACGTAACACTCCAATCTCTCTCATTCTTCAATTAACTTTGGAACTATTAGTCATGTAGATCACTGCAAAACCACACTCACTGTTGCAATCACCGAGTAAAATTGATTTCTTTCTTTTTCAAATTTTGAAGTGAAATGAAGCTTAGGTCTCAATCGATTATATTTTAGGGTTGATGCAATCTTGGTTGATTGTAGGTACTTACCGATTGAGGGAAACCTAAAGCTATAAATTTTGATGAATTTGACAAGGCTCCCGAAGAGAAGAAAAGAGGAATTACAATTGCATCGAAACAGAATGGAACAGAAGATAGTATAGAAGAATTGATTCGATGCTTTGATACCAAAGCAAAACAACAACACCGCCAAACAGAAAATTAGAAGGATGTTGTTCATTGGCATCACAAGTATTGTTCAGTTGAATAATCTTTTTTGTAGCTTCAAAAATTTTCTTTTAATCAATTGAAAGGTATATTGGAACATTCTTTGTTCAACTTATGGAAGACATTTTTTTCAGGTATTTTCTACTGAAATTTTCTTATTAAAGGCACAAGACAACAACTATGTATCTTCAAACGTTGAGAACCTTGGAGTTTCATCTTCCTCTCTGCCTCAACAACACTCTTTTCTTCTATCAATCTCAAATCAAAACACAATATGTTTGTCTATTTTTTCATTACGTTTATTTTTTAATGTTAATTTGATATTGCTTTCCTTAATGGATTTGCGAATCAGATTGTTGGTCATGTTTTCTTAATGGATTTGCAATTGTTTTTTGATATTTTTGATAGTGTTTTTTTGATGGATTTGTGATGGGTCTTGATGCATTTTATGAGAATGTTGATCGTGTGATGAATCTTCTATTACTTTTTCTCTGATTTTTGCTAATTTGTGTGAATGTTGTAATTATTTTGTTTTCTATGAATCTGTCAACTTGCCACATATTCAAGTAGTGAGCTTTTTTCAAATCAAAGTTCTTTATTCTTTGAGAGTGAATTTTTAACTCCTCTTTCTAATTATCTTCTTCTTTATTGCAGCTATGAAGTTTTTGTCATCTTAAAAGTGAAAGAGCATTGGTATCAGTGGTGGAGTCTTTCTGAGACACATATTTGGGTGGCTTGGTATCATTGTTCAATTTGCTTTTAACATGTTTATAAATTTGTGTAAAAAATATGTTTATAAATCAATTATTGTTTGTATCTTATCCCAAGGTCTAGTGTATTTTAGTTTTTTATTCCTATGTATGTTTCTCACTTTTATTACTAATGGTGATTATACAGTTGGGATGAATCGCCTTATTCACGTAGTGAAGATGACTTGGCAAGAAGCCCTCGCGATAGCCCATTCGTAAGGAATAAAGTGGAGAGGTCTTCAAAAGAATTTCCAACTCTACTTTTGCAAAAAGTTCAGAACTAGATGCAAAAACACACAAGTAATTTGTTCTATTTGTTCTATTTGCTTATGACAATTCAGTGTCTGAAACTCTATTTTTTAAGTTTTGAAACTCTTCAAGGTACATCGAGGCAGATGATCACTTTGACATGTCAATGTTTGATTCCTCCTTAAGCATGCATGAAAGTGGAAATTCTCCGCAAGCAGAAAGATTGACGTGATTTGATTCAATTAGCAGCCGCAAGAATTTTGGAAACAATTTAGGCAACAGTCACGAAATATTCCTCTTAGTGATAGAATAGCTTATATGATTTAATTTGTTGTTTCATGCATTCTCTATTATTCTCCGTAACAAATGCAGTTGAATGAAAATAATTATATTTAATAGCATATATTTTAGATTATTATTATTATTATTTATGTGTCTGTTTTTATTTTAGATTATACTACTACTATTCAATTCCCTTTTCAATACCAAGTCATTAATTAAAGATTAAATACTTTTTAATACCGAGGCAATAATTAAGATTAAATATGAGTGGTCAACTAAAATATTAAATTACTCATTAGTATATTAAAGATTATACGAGTTCCAAGATTTCAGTCTACTACTTTTTTTAATTTTGGCAAAGTATACATATAAAAATTTGTTAAAATAAAGTAATAAAATCATTGAAAAAACAATTAGATTTTATTCATCAAGTTTCACAATATTAATTTAAATTCTTTTTATTTGTGTAATTGACTTATTTGTGAATTTTTATTTACTTATGTTATTTTGAAATCTTATTTAGGATAATATCAACTTAAAATTTTATATATAAAGTTCGAAACTAAAATAAATAAATAAAAGAGTCGAAGTTTTAACAAAATTATAAAAAGAGAGTTTTAAATAAATTTATTGAAAATAAATATAAAAATATGACACTAATTTATTTGGTATTATATGATAAGCGGAGGTTTTCCAAAATTTTGAATTTATAATTGTTTATATTTTCTATTTTTCGATTATAAATTTTGTAACAAAAAGTAAGTTTTTGTTTTCTCTTTTAATACTGTCTATTTTTTTACTAAATGCACTTAATTAACTTAATCATTTTTTTACTCTAATAATTTTTTACCTTAGATATCAACTGTCACTTTTCAATGTAAATTCAATTTTTCAACTTACTCAATGCCTTTTGATTAAAATATCAAAATTTCTAAGTTTAAATTCTAATTTTTGTTATTCTAAGATCTAATTTTTCGATTTCTCTACTCATATCTAAAATAATAATGGTTAAATTACTTTTTAATAGTGTAATTTATGATGAATATAATTATTTATTACTCAATTTATTTTACAATAAATATGACCCTCTTAAAAAGAAATACAAAAAGTGATATTTTTGTATTTTCAGATTTTGTTTTGTTAATGAACCTTAATTAATTTTGTGTTTTTAATATGGTAACCTGAAAAAATATGATGGGTAAAAATTGATTATATAGAAAAGTTAGATTTGAATATTTTTAATTGTATTACAATATATATTTATATTAGGGATAGTAAAACGGGTTAGATCTAGGGTGTTCGCGGTCCGGTTTGGGCGGTTTTGAAGTAAAAAATTACCTGAACCGTAAGAGAAAAAAATGTGTGGTTCGGTTTAGTTTGGTTGGCTTTTAAAAATAAAACAGAATCAAACAAAACCAAACTAATGCGGTTTGGATTGGTTCGGTTGGTGCGGTTTTTTACAAAAAAATTATTTAGCCATACATACACATATAGAGAAAAATATAATTTTGTGTTTAACCGTTCATACATTGCCATAAAAAAAATTTAATTGTCAAAATAAGTTTATAATTTATTACATAAAATTGCGTATTATAATTTTATCTAAATCTAAAGAATGATATACATAAGATTGCATTCTTAAATAAATATTATACAAAGAATACGATAAAATATATTTTATGAGAATAGTATTTATAAATGAATAATATTTCATTTTTTATGATTTGTAAATTAAAATACATATCATACAAAGAATATCATAAAATATACACATAATACATGTTGATTTCTCTAAAGAATTAAAAAAATATATTGGTTAATAAGATTTAATAACATAATGCGGTTTGGTTCGGTTTGATTCGGTTTACAAAATACAAACCGCAAACCAAACCAAACCATGCGGTTCCATTAGAAAATGACCCAAACACATCAGAATCAAATGCGGTTTTTTACGATTTCGGTTTGGTTTGGTTCGGTTTTGCGGTTTTCTATTAGGCCGATTTGGTTTTGAACACCCCTAGTTGGATCTGTCCAGTTAGTCCGTTTGACCTGTAATTTTTAGCGGGTTGGGCTGAGATTTTCAGCTCGGTACTTTAAGTTGGTCCGTCCCACCTAACCCGCTTAAAAAAGCGGGCCGAGACGAAGGAGAACGGGTTTTTTCCGCGGTCTTTTTGTTAAAATTTTTACTCTTTTTATTAAGAATTAAAATAACTTTAACTATAAAAACAACACATATCTCTTAGGATTATATTATAAATTATTATACAAACAAATTAAATTATAATTAAAACGTTCTTTCTATAACTTTCTAATACATGCGTTGATTAAAAATGATTGAAATAAAAGAATAAATATATGGCATGCATAATTATTAAGTTTCCAATATATTAGCTCAGATATTTTGTTTAGAAATTGATGTTGATTTTAAGAAAATGAAGAATTTGATTAGTGTATACGTTTGACAAATTTATGATTTAACTATTAAAGAATCAATCAATATAAGAGTCTATATAATTTAAATAGTGAGAAAGTTCGGTGTTGATATTTTACGCGTTACTATTTTATGCATTGTGATGTTTTATGCAATGTTATTGTTATCATTGTTGATTTTGTGTAAATTCTAAATTGGATTCTTTTAATAGTTAGTTTTTAAATAAGATTAGGATTATATGTATTGTTTATTTATTTTGATATTTTTTATTGTGCTTGAGTTTATTTTGTTTTTTTATTATAATTGATCTTTATTTATTAAATTTTTTGAATTGTTTGAACTTAAGACATCTTGAAGTTCTATCATGTGTTGTTAAAAAAAATTCTTTATCAACCTCTTTGGTAGTAATTAAAATTTTCTAAATTATATATTAAATCAAATTATAAAATAAAATAAAATAAAAATTCAACTCGTTAGTAAACAGGGCGGACTTGACTTTTGAGCTCGAACCCCTAAGTTAGTTCGCCCCGCTCCACTTTTGAACGGACTTAAACGAGGCGGGTTTAAATGACGCGGGCCGCCCACTTTACCATCCCTAATTTATATGTTGCTTACACGAATTTAAATTAAGAAATAAATTGATATCGATATTTGAACATTTTAAGACGGCAAAATTATATATAAGCTCACTAATTTTGTGTAATAAAAAAATGTTGTTACCTTTTTATCTCTATTTTATTATTTATTTTAAAATAAATCTACCCTTTAATTAAAATGAATATTTTTGCCTTTTCTAATTTAAAAATAATTTAAAAATTACTTTGTTTATTTGATTTTTTATCAAACTTAATATTCTGATTTTGGATCATTATTAATATTATTTTTTACTAATAAAAAATATTTCTTATTTTTTTTATCAAAATTATTTTAAATATTATCTTTCCCATCTCTATTATATTATTTATTTTGAAATAAATGTGGAAGAAATCAATAACTTTACATTTTTTATTTAAAAGTAATTAAAATAGATTTATTTTATATCATTGAAATTAGTATGAGTTATAAATTCATTTTTGTATTAAATGTGACATAAATTACTATTATTATTTTCAATTAAATTAAAATAGTATAATCTTAATTATATTGATATTAAAAAAATAATATGTATTTGCATTATTTTTCTATATAAGACTCTCAAATACCTATTACTTATATTATAAGGTAGTATTAATATAATTGTCATATATTTATAAATATATTTATTTTGACATTTTAGGATTTAAAAAATGTATAAAATATATATTAATAATAATACAAATATATTATTGATATTATTAAATAATATAGAATAATAGTAATAATCACGATAGAGAGATTTCAAATCGACAATATCTCACTTATTTATGTTTTAGAGATGAAATTCTAACCTCCAAAATTATTTAACAAAAAATAATAATATTCTCATTGTCTTATGAAAAGGACATCATTTATATTTTTTTACTTCTAAATTACTACATAAATTTAACAAATATAATATTATTTAACTCATTACGTCTAATCAAATTATTATCAATTTTAATTTTTTATTAAATTAATATTTGATTTAATAACAATTACTAAATTATATCAAATATATTATTATAATTTTATATAAATCATAAATATATTTTTGAAAAATAGAATAATTTTTTTAATTTTTAAGTTTAATTTTATATAAATAACAAATATTTTAAAAATAAAATAAAATAGACTTGAAAAAATATTAATTTTTTTAATAATAAAAAGTTAACATTTATACTAATAAATGATACTGATATTTTTTTATAAAAAAAATATGAGACAATTATAATTAGTGAATACATAAATTATTCATTAATACACAATTTTGTTATTCTTTTTAAATTTTATATATATTTTTTAACTATCAGTATATTTTATTTATTTATTATTTATAACAATATCAGATGATCCTGAAGGGTGTTTGGGAGCAGCAGTGGCACAAGCACCAGTTTTTTAGGGCATCCAATTTTTTTTTTATTATATATACATATGAAGTTGACTATTTATTTGATACATATGATTTATAAATCTGATGAAAAAAATTATGAATTAAAAAAAACACAAAATTCATAATTTCGACAAGGCACTCAAAATCTCGGGGACGACCCTGAATAATATTGTGTAGCCTATGCAAACGACGGATAGATGACTACCTAATTATTTCCTTTATTTTTTCTACTAAAATATATATTTTCGAGTGACCGAGACTACTTAATTTATATATTGTTTATATACATTTTTTAACAATAATTATATAATATTTATTTAATATTTATATCGACTTTGCGCGACCCGTGCGAACGCACGTGTTCTATACATTTCTTAACTATCATTATACTATATTTATTTAATATTTATAATAATATTGCACAATCATGTAAAGGCACGAGTAGATATTTATATCGATTTTACGTGACTCGTGTGAACGCACGAGTTCTATATATTTCTTAACCATCATT